TCGACAGCCCAGACCGGTTTCGCCCTTCTTGGGGCTCATCAGGTAGCCTTGCAATGCGGTTGCTCTGGTTGACCCTGCTTTGGCCACACGCCGAGGCAAGATCAAATGGAACAACTTAATTTTGATTAGCCCCGTTTATTAGAGCTAGACTTGTACTGGAGAGCGCCTAGTGAATAGTATACATGAATATTCAAATCGAGAGTCAAGCCTAAGCTACCATTGTTCCTTACCCACCAGCAGAGTAACCCCTTCCTCGGCATATTCCAAAAAAGCATCGTGCGACCCCCAAACGCAACAAGACAACGAGACAGTTACCACCAGGTTCCTGAATCAAAATAGACCAACATCCTGATTACATATGTCATTGAAGACTCTGACAGAATTCCAGGTGAAAGGCATTTCAGATCTTACGGTCAACCTACACTGTACACAGCCAGGTAACGTGACTGAGTGGTCCAATTTTCAGGAAAAAAACATGCGCTTAGGAGCATCTCCAAGCCTAAGCATCCCATTGTATTCGTCCAAGAAACGCAGCGTCCTCGAAGCATTCAATTCTCTTGGATACAATCCAGCTAATCTGCAAAAACCCCACCACGTGAAAGGAGGGTGTAGGATATGAATAGCTAGTTGAGGTGAGACAAACGGAAAAAACGGAAAGGATAAACTAGCATCATAAACCAGAGGTATCGACGGCTTGTCGTACATGATTTCCTAAAGTTTGCTCCACGTACCTCAACAAAAGAACTTGCCTAGACACAATAAGGTTCAATGTAGCGCACGCGAAACGAAGTTTGAGATAGCAGTGACCACAACTGGGCAACTCAGGGAACCATATGAGTCTGTTATAGGCCTGGACAACGGAACTCAGTCGAAAGACAGTGAGAACTGTCGACCACCCTCCAGAAGGTCCTCCACTGACTTCCACACTCATGATTGTCTTCACTCGCAACCGGTCGGTAGAACTTTGGCATAACTTGAAGTACCAAACGATGACGAGAGAAGTCTGCCTACTCGGGTGAATGCATCTGAGGGGTCGTGACTAGCTTAATTAAAGCAAATATCACACAAAACTCGTGGTTCATGAAAAGAAAGAAACGCTTACCAAATTTCTTGCCTGTTCAAACATCGAGGTCAAGAAGCAGAAACTAAACAAGCATACCAACGATGTGCGGAGGGATCAAAGCGATTAAGCTGAAGAAATCACTGCTGCATCGTGGGAGAAAAACATTTACGCTTTAGAAAACTCGTTGAAGGGCCTTGACATCTCGATTTCTCCTTCTGACCAATAGAGAATGAAGGTTCACAAAACCACGTGAACAGTAAATACAAGTGGAGTCTGTAAGTGTGACAATTATTGAAGTTATTATCGATTAGCCTGAGTGGTCAGCAGTCACGTGAGCGGACCGTGGACGCTTTCTGGGTTCACAGACTTGGGTTACGTGAGCGAATCTCAATCCTCCCAGCTGTGATCACATATTGCTATTGAACCGATCTTGGTAATCGGATAGATGCCTAGTAGGGTATTTCAAAAGCATTATTAGAGCACCAGCTATTCGAGGAACCACTGCGCTGTTAATTAACCTTTTAGATCAGGCTATCAGCCAGGACTCCCAGATTCTTCAAAGTAAAGATGCATGTGAACAGTAGCTTGGAACTCTCTGAATTTGCCAACCATTCTGATAAACAAAGTTGCCTGCCTGTGGGCAGTGGTCTAAGTGTCACGTTGTTCCCCTTATAACATGATTTTTCTCTTTGGGGCACCTGGGAACAACAAATTACCTCTCTACAAATACTGCACTCAGAGAACATTTGTGTTTGGTCAACAGTGCGTTCATTTATTGGTTGGTTGTATCTCAGAAGAAACTAAATGTCGGAGAAAGTCAATTTTGGTGAGTTCCTTCGGGTTGTCTCTAGAGGTGCATCAAATTTACTACAATTCTTCTTTAGAAAGGTCCAAAGATGGATCAAAAGAGGTGTCTTCCAAAGATTTGTCTCTTTAGAACAACACAAAAAGGAGAGACCGTCAATATGACAACAGTTTCTTCTTCAAGTTGGTCGCTTCTTGAAAGAAGTTCTCCATTGTACTACCGATAAAAAAACTGACAGTTTAACGCTGATTTCTTTAGAGATGGGCAGACCAAATCTTAATATCCTAATTGCAGAAGAGTGAATTAAGATATCGGCTGATGATGCCAGGCTATATATGTCGGCGTCACTGCCTGTAGAACATCTGGTCTAATTGTGTAGATTTGGCAGCGTTGCAATGACAATGCATAGGTCCCAGTTCATCACACTGGGCATTCGTCAAAATTTGAAGTAGATACACCATTTTCTGATCGTGTGGCCGTTATAGTTACCCCGAGAGAGACCATCATCCTCCACTCCGACCGTTCAGCGGGAGTGGCCTTCATTCAGGTGGACTGCATAGTCGAATTTCCGACACAGGCCTGTCGGAACACAAAGTGATCTGATGCATCACGGATTTCAGACATGTTTACCCGACAGTCAAAACACATGCCAGGCTGACGAAGAAACTAACAGTGGTGTCTCTCCTTTGAGTAAAGTTCAACTTAAATCCAAAGTGTCCTCAAGGGATATCAACTCCTTGTTGATCAGGGTGGTATACGAATCCCGGTCTGCCTGGCTCATAGCAGTTTTGTGTAGAAAAAAACGAAAATGTGACGAGCGCGGGTAAAACGGGGTTGCCATATAGTTAGGTCAGTCTCTTAATAAATTTGAGCTTTATAGCTTCTCCTATTGATTGCATACAGGCAAATTCGGGCTGCAGGTTGTGTGATCATGAAACTTTGAAAGAATGGCCTTTGTCATGAAATCCACTGACATGCTGAAGGTCAATTTACTCAAAGAAGTTCTTGAGTATCTGACTCAAAGCAGTTGTCAAGTGACAATTTCCAAGCATCCGTAGGTTTCTTTCAAACTAGGATGAGAATCTCTGCCAGTGTTCGTATATCCACTGACTGGACGCGGAAGTAGGAACATGCCGCGTGGATTTTGATGGGTTCTCCCGACAAGATGCTGAATGGCCGAAATGAACCAGGTCAGAAATGAACTCTGATCACTTCATTTTAACGAAAGTACACAGAATTACACAAATCTGGTTAGATCAGCTCAAAGTCCTTACACGTGTTCAGGCAAGCAAAGACTGGAGCTAATTTAAAGAGACTCTTGGGTGACACTGAGTGAAAATAATTGGGTTCTTTCATCCCATTTATTCACCGCACATTCCACTTACTTTTCCCCCAACGAAATCTCTGTGACGTCACGAGAATTTTTACGATAACCTCGAGAATAAGCTGATCATTCCGCGTTTGCCTTCCCTTAGCACGCTGATTGGTTAATTTCACCCGTCCAATAAACAACTCATTCACGTGAACTTTCGTTGTGAACAGTATGAAGCTGTGGGTGACACCAAACCACGATGACCAACCGCACTCACCCGCTCCGATGCACGGAACCATTGATTATTCGAGCCTTGGTCGGAAGGAATGTTGCATTATGGGCCGACTATAGACAAATATGTGCGAGTCTTCCAGACTTTATCGGATACTTCTGCCGAGGAAGTTGGTAGGACTATGCGTTTTCGCTTTGGAATAGGACCAAAATGGTGAAATGGTAACAACTGAGAACTGTGTTGCACACATTCAGCATGCTGTCTTCCGCCTAGAACTCATGCCCCTATGACTATTGGTTTTCTCTTTCACAAAGTTTCACCATCAATCTGGAAGAAAGGAGATACCGTGCTAAGATTGTCTAGGCTGAACTCAGTACAGCTGACCGAATTGGACAGGGCGAGATTTCCCAAAGGGTTCGAGCGAGAATTAACTGACCGGAAGGTCCGTTGTTCGAACCCAACTTCTTCCTCTCGACTTCCCCTGTCTAGGCTTAGACAACCTGGAAGTATCCAAGCCCTCGTACTTCCTTCTTGTGGCATTTTTGCTGGGCCACGTAAGTTGGTACAGCTAGATGCATATCCTCCGGTCTGAAAGCAGGCACACAACTTTCCATATACTACTATCACCAATGATTGTACACTTTTCAGACGGTAGCCTCATGCTTTGTGTAAAAATATCTGGCATCCGAATCGGATATGACGATCAAAAGTGAGCACATAGTTAGAGACCGGTGTGGTGCTGCGTGGAAGCTCTTGGCAATGACGAGGAGATAAAATCGGTGAGGCCTGTCTCAAGCAATGAGCCTGCCCGAACACATGACGTGAAAGGTGCATTGGCAACAGTCATCTGCTTGCCATCAAGATATTGAAGTTATCCGTCAATTTTTTTCAACGAAACATTCCACCTGCCCCAGTATGGCACCTCGCGAGTATTACCGGAACCCCATACTATTGAAGGACTAACCAGGTTGTATTTAGTTCAAGAAAGAAACGCCTCAAGAGTAATGTACAATCAACGTCGCCAGTCATAACGTCACCATGTTTTGTGGTCTTTGTGACTGTTTGATGAGCGGGACGGTATCCTGTCAAAGTGGGGCTAATCACACTACTGTCCAGTCGTTCGCGGCGGGTCGGTTAAACGTCCAACCTTTGGCCCAAAGCTTGTGGATTCGAAACTCCCTGAGTTTCGTTTCCCCTGACCACCGATTGAATCGGACTTATTGGGCCGGTCGATAAAATTGTGAGTTCAGATTACTTGACTTTACCTTGGTTGGGGCCCTGACTGAGTTTATAATATGTCTATTCATTCCAGCCCTCGTTCCCAGATGGTGTTAAAACTAACAATTTTTTTGGTTTACTTCGCTTCACACATCACATTCGACTCTGCGACCTCTGCGTTCCTCATTTCCTTATCTTACCGTGTCTCTAGTATCGACTTATCACACTTGGCTAGTCCTGATTCCAATGGCTTGGTTCCTTTATTGTAGGAAGTCGCCTTTCTACCCCGACAGACAGTAGAAGGAGATTTCAAGCAGCTCTGATATTTCCATCAAACTATTGTTTGTTTCAGGTTATTCAATCCGAAACGTTGGTTTACAGTGAACTTGAAGCATCCGTCTTTATATTAGAATCGACTCTACTAGGTCCGGCCTTCCAATACTAATTTCAGTACTTACTCCTCATTTCACACTGAATAACACATTGGATATCGTGTCAGTCTCTCCGGCATCCTTCATTTCACAAGTTCTTAGATGTTTTCGAGAAACACACTCATTTGCAGATCGATTTGGTTTTCACGAGAGACTCAACTGAATCTCTCGTTTATGAT